AGTACATTTGCAGCTTGGAGTGCCCATGGTGCAGGATGCCCCAGAGTGGGCAGTGGCATCATAGGCCCCCAGTTCAGAGTTAAAACATTTTAAAACTCAGCAGGGACAGTGAGCAATGGAGTTATTTCTCTGGCTTTGAGGACAATGTAAGGTTTGTTTTGCCATATACACCTCTTATTGCCTGCCTAGAATCAAAGTCAAAATTTGTAAAATCAACAGAAGGGAAACAGCAAATGTTACCAGCCACACAGAGCATTTACAGAATAAGAGTACATGTTGCTGTGTTCTTAGAGTAGGAATTTAGGTATTGTGTGCAACCCTACAGTGATCCCAGTTTCAGGGAGGTTACAAACAAGAAAGAAAAAACTCTGATCATCTTAATTATTTTTAAACTGATCGCACCTTACTCCAACACAACAGAAATCTCAAAAACCATTTTTTGTAATTTGTCACATGCAGTTTAGAAGTCTGTGTTCACACATCTTTTCCCTTAGGTAGCAACTTTCATGAATTGATCTGATGTATACAACTAGGACAAAACCAGGTATCAGTAACCAAGGATTTTGTGACAGTATTTTGAAATTTCTTCCTGTGGATGTGAGGAAGAATTATGCCTCTGAAATTCAGAAATGCTGATATAATCTCAGTTGGGAGTGTTGACCTAAGGAGTTACAGAAAAATGTATATGACCTCTAAATGCTCCCTGAGCTGAAGTCTAGATAGTTTATGCTGAAAGGACTAATTTGCTTCTTGAAAGCATTACTCATTGGTAAAGACAGTGGTGTATTGCTTTTTCAAATCTATTTTTTCCTCTTTACTTTCATGTTTTATTTTTTGGGTGGGGCTCATCAGCTTCTGAATGACATATCCAAAGCAAGCTCCATTTCCACATACAACTGAAGTTCCTGCTGACCAAACTGCTTAGTGCATTAGTATAATTATTCTGAATATGAATTACCTGCCAATGGGTAAATAAATCAATAAATAAACCAATCAGTGAACACTAATTTGTTCAGTAAATATCTTGGTGTATGAACAGAACCTAGTGGGTGAGCTGTGGAAGGTAAATAGAGTACTAAATGAAGTGTAACAATTAATGTAACATACTTGGTAGGAAATGAAATAAATTGCTTTCAGTTTTGTATATTTTTGCATATCCTAATAGTACTTAAATGGTGTTAGGTAGATTTAAAAAGATTTGAAGAATGTAGATAATGTTCTCAGCACTGATGCCCATTAGTAATGATTTCCTCTATATTGTCTCAGCATTGTAAAACATTGAGAACCTATTGCTCCTGAAGAATTTGTATAGCAGCCTAACCATATGAACAGGAATACCAGTAGTCAAAAAAGTGAAAGTATTTATTCTATGTGACATGCTCATAAAAATTTGAAAATGTAGATAAATGTTTAAATAATTATCTAGGCTAAAAATATTCAGCAGTGGAACATGTGACTAACTTCTTCCTTAATGTCACTCCACCAAGTATAAAGAAAGTCTGAAAGAGTAGAAGACTGTGGAGAACTGTTTTGTTTCAAATAACTTTATTTTTAGTTATTTATCTTTACATACATGTATCCCAAGTAAATATATATATATATATACACTTTTACCTAAGAATCTCGGGAATACTGATGTTCTTAATATTGTTTGATGGTTTCCTGGTGGTTTGAGGCTTGTACAAGTTCTTGCAGCCATGATCAGGAAGCCCAAGAGTTGGTACTGCAGTAAAGGCATGCTTCCTCCTGGCAGTTCCTCCTGGTGACACTTATTTCTCTCTGTGGACTGTAGGCAGAGACTGGATGATAATTTGGTCTGGATGCCTAATTTTATATGTCATTATGGCATGTGTAGAATGACCAATGTATTGTGTAGAAATCATTGAATAATTTCAAATTTGATAATCAAGAAATTTTGCTCTTTTGCTCCTACAATGTTTTGAAACCAACCAGACCTCCCCATGTATTGGTGTGAATTGTGAGAAAACATCAGCCCAAGATCTTTTCCATATAAATTCAAATTTAGACAGATAAATACCCCAAATGCAATATCATGTCATCAAAATTGATATATTTTCAAAAAATATACTAGCAATAGCAATGATTTGCTTCAGGATAATGTCTTGAGACCCTTAATGAGGGCAGGAACACATGGTACTTGTATACATATGTCATCCATATGTGTAGTAGAAGTATTCTTCCTGCCAAAACCTATAGAAATAATCCAACAGAATGACTTATTTTTAACTCTTCATGCCAAAATATTAAACTGTTCAAAAAAGTGTAGAATCCAAATGGGAAAACTTTGGGAAATTAATGTTGCTTTTCTATAATTGTACAAACATAAATCTAAAATTGCTAAAAAGAGGAAAGCAGTAACTCTTGGTTTACTTATTCCCATGGTGTCATTTTCAGCATGGGTGGGGTTGAAATACCTCTTTTATATTGGATTCATTTTTACAGATTTTTACATGGGAGCACTTTGCTTATAGTTAGGATTGCAACCAACAATATTTCACTATAAAGCTGTATGTTTTCTCTGTTTAATTGAGAAAAATTAGTTTTGTCTGAAAATTTCCAGATGTATTATAACTACCATACATTCCTGTGGAGTCTGGAGAAAATCAGTCATACTCTTTCCTTAAGGCTGGGCTTATCAGATTTTCTAATTCTAGTAAAACTAATTTGTTACTCCTAACATAAACCTTTATACTGATTCAAATGTCATAAACCTATTTCTGTATTTTATAAGATAATAATCTAATTAAAAATTTATTTTAGTCGCTTTTGCTGCATGATATATATTTTGGGTCCAGTCCTGCATCTGTTGAATTATGCTTCTGGAAGTCATGGGCTGGATATGATCCTTATTTTGTCCTTTGGAATTCAGTGCAGGCAGCACTGGGCAATGCTGATGGTCTTTGTGCCTCAGATAAGCACTGATGGCTGTGAGGCATCACCATCAATCATAATTGTAAATTATGATTGCACTGCATTTTGCACTCTTATTGTCCTTAATTTGCAGATGTATAAATGATTGTACAGCAGGGTGATAAACTGAATCTCCAAGTGTTCTTTTCCATATTTTTCACAGAAAGCAGCCCTTGTATGACACTAATAAATTAGGTGTCTAGTTAGAAAAATAATCTACTATTGTCTTCTATCAGACATCTCTCACTGTCAAATAAAATAATGGTTGTACAAGCATTGCCAGTTTGATTTGTGGTCAGGCTTTGCACCTGTTCACTGCATAAAGCAGCAGTGCTGCACTCACAGCCATGAATGCTGATGTGGGAGAAGTGAGGGCAAGGGTACAGAGTGCACAGGCTGATGTTCCATACAAAACCTTCCGGCTGGTCCTGCAACCTCAGCAGCATCTTTGTGTCATTTTGTCTGCTTGTAACTTTCTTAATCTGTTGTAACTTTCTTAATCCATCAAATACACAGAAGAAACCTAGAAACTTCTGTCTGCCTTGGTCATAAAACGGGTTCAAGAGTTGTGGAACGCAGATCACTAACATTTAACATGATCTGAATAACTGTTAGAAATAGCAGGTCTCTGTAAATCTGGGATGAAGAAAAGATTGTAAATTGTGGAAAGTAAAAGGACCCAATGAAAGATTGCCAGTCTTGACTGGTGTTGAGTGCTGGAGAACTCGTGATGTTCCTAGGTATTTTTACAATGATTGTTGCTGCCACTGGTAAAACGGGTTCCTCATTTCCAGTGTGGATTGGTACAGTTTCTCACCAATGGACCTTGCTGTGCTACTGTCTGATAGAGGGAAGTGCCAGGTACTACCAGATATTTTACCTCCAGTTGGGTGCAGGTGGTGACTAAATCACCTCTTAACCTCATTGACAAGAAAAGTAAATTGACTTTGTTACATGTCTTGTGTAAGCACCATGAATAGAAGTATAAACATTCTTTTTCAACTTTCAAGTTTTTGAAACTTTCAGAAGTAATTGCTTCCTATGTAACCACTACTCATCTCTACTTTTAATTCCATTTATCATACATCCAAAGGGTGGTAGCAACAGCCTACTTTTATTACTTCTATTTAGCTGATAATCCATGAGGTCCCATGTACCTTTTCCAAGTTCATTGATTTGCTGAATGCAGATTTTCATCCTGTGTGTGACCTACATTTATTTCATTGCATTTGGCCATGTTGTAACGTAACTTCTGCTTTAATGGTGTTACTCACCTAATTTCCTATCAGTTACTCTGATTAGTGATTACTGACCTGTCATTTTTGGGCATCCACAATTATCTTCAGCAAAAAGTTCAAAGTTTTTTTCCCACACTTCTCATAAAGATGATAGCATTTAAAGAATAGCAAAGGCACTTAGAATTACACTGAAAATACCCACTGAATACTGACTATCTCCGAGTTTCCAGATCTTCCAGCTTTTAATTTCTTTATATGTTTGATAGCTAGTACAAATCTTCCTGTACTTACTGTGAGGTTGATTAGTTATGAATGCTGTTTGTTGGTGTAAATATCAGATGGGACTCTTCTTAAGACCTGTGCAGTGGCATTCTGAAACACTCATTCCTATTTTATTCCTCTCCCATCTGTTTTTAATGTATTGCCTGTCTTAAAATGACCAAAGATGATAATGCGGGGAATTTTCAATTTTACTTTAATGTAATATACAAAATAGCCATTCTAAATTGCAAATTAATACATTTTATATAAAGTCCAATGTACAGGATCTTAAAATTGTTTAAATAGTATTATAAATGTAATTTCAGAGAAGAGTCAGTCCTGGAGTGATGCAGTCTCATGTTAATTACAGTTCATTTTGATATCCCTGCTGTTCATTAAAAAAAAAATCCATCCTAGATTCTAGAAACATCCTTATGAGTTCAGATTTGGTTCCAATCAAAACAAGAATGAACTCCCAGATTTTTTTTTTATTTCAACTTTGTTTTCTCCACACAGATGAATGAAATCCTTTGCTGGGGCCTCCAGTTTGAATGTCATTTGCCATCTGCTTCAGAGCACATCTTCATCTGATAAAGCATCAAGGTAATCTGTATCAACATATAAGAGAAATCCAGAAAACAAACTGTCTGCCCACGTTGGATCAGAAAAGAGACCATTTTGGTCAGTGTAGAAGATTTCAAGCCATACTTCATCCTCTGGCTGAAGGTAGATCACCGTGGATCCAGAAGCGACGTCGTGGTTGCCGGTGTTGGCGTCGAAAGTCTTGATCCGGTACTTGCCATTGTGAACCAGCCCAATGGCAAGGTGCTTGTTTGCTAAGGTGATATCATAAGAAAAATAATAAATCCCTGGGATGGCACAAATGAACTTCCCTGTGGATGGGTTGTAATGCTCCCCCTCGTTGAAGAGGACTTTATTGAATACAATTGGTAGTCTTTCCTCTGGGTAGCTCGTGGTGATGCCAACAGAAAAGGCAGATTTCAGCACTATCTTTCCACACTTGCAGACCCCTGGTGCTCCTGGCTCTCCTCGGTCTCCTTTATCTCCCTTAGGTCCAGGTGGTCCAGCTGGACCTACGTCACCTTTGGCACCAGTCAATCCTCCAGGTCCTTTCTTACCAGACTCACCTTGGTCTCCTTTCTCTCCAGCTGGTCCTAATGGCCCAGTCTTTCCTCTTAAACCTTCAAAAACATTTTAAGTTAGTTAATCGTTGCACATATCACCTCAGTAAATGATTGTGTGGGCTACTGTGTGTGCCTGAACAAACAAGAAAAACATGGTCAGAATTTCAAAATGCTCTACAAATACTTTCAAAGTTTTCTAGTAAGTTTGCAAAAGGAATGCCACTAATTCCTACTTATCCTCACGTGTCTTGATTACACATTAAAGAATGTTATATGTAATCAATCTATTGCTGCCTGAACTACCAGGCACTACTGATGGCAGGGACAGCAGCATGACCACCTATGTAGTGATACTTGTGCACTAAATATTTCCTAAAAATAGAGCATTTTTAGTGCATACCTAAGCACCTGCTAATCTTTTAAGCCTGGCTAATGGCACAGGTGGGACTATTTATTTGACACCATGCATACTTCATTCTTTCCAATCTTTTTCTTAGCATCTTTGTGAAGAAAGGTTGTGTATTTACATTTCTTTACACTGATAAATGTGCATATCCTCACTGTATTTATATATGCATCACACTTAAACCCACACAGGCACATACACACACTTATCATATATAAATAAATAAATATATGAATATATTATATATATATATACACACACCTATAGATTAGATATAGATATAGATATAGATATAGATATAGATATAGATATACGTGTATGACAGTGATGATGAAAGGTCTTGCTTTCTTGTACTACTGTGTTAGTTTACACAAATATTCAATACCTGCACTCCCTTTTTCACCTTTTTCTCCCTTCCTGCCATCTCTACCATCTCTTCCTGGAAGACCAATGCGTCCATGTGGCCCTGGGGATCCGCTGGCTCCAGGGGGGCCAGCAGGGCCTGGCAGACCTGGGATGCTGCAGATATATCTGGTGTAGTAATTTTCTCCTTTGGTCTGGCTTTGAAGAGGTTGTTCACTTGTGTAGATGGCAAAACTTGTAATGTACAGCAGCACAAACATCCTCAGTTCTGGGGAAAAAAAAATAGTCAGACACTCTACTCACATGGAAATGGCTCTGAATGTGCAAATAAGTGTGACACTGTGATGCATTATACACAAGTAGAGGTCCAGACCTCAACCTGGAATTTATGCATTACCAAAATCCATGTAGGAGGCAAGGAGGAAAGTCTGTCAGGTTGGAGCTTTTTCTGGGCACTGTACAAGTTGCTGTATGACTTTCAAATAAGTAGGTGTAGACTGACATAGTGTAACTGGTGAATATCAGCTTTTTGGGGCCAAATGTTGACACGTGGAAAAATAATCTGGATTTTTTCAATGCAAAGACCTTTGCATAGATTATTTTGCCTTTGGTCCCTATATAAGCTTCACAGATAAAAGCCCTTTTGCTGAAGGAGTTAGTCTGTGCTAGAGGCATGTGCCTGTAGTGAGGATAAAGGTTACACCTTCATTTCATTTTGAAATTTGCCCTTATGGTGGCAAATGAATCTCCAGCTTAAACAACTGCAGCAGAAACTTGCTGAAGCTGCAGAAAGGATGGCAGGCAGTTAGAGAGCTCCAGCTTTAGTGCCCCTTGGAAACAGCACAAATAAACACTTCACCCTAATCCTCAGGTGGGACTCGGCAGCTGCCCTGCCCTGCAGGGGATGGTGGGTGTGAATGGGCTGCTAACGTGTTGAGTTTTTTAAGCCTGGCTTGGGCTGTCATATACAATGAACTGTGTCACAGTATCTTGCAAGAAAATTGGTTCAATCCTTATATATGGTATTTGGGTGTTTTCATAAACGATTGGGTGGAAATTGGATTTCTCTGTCCCACTGTATACTGGGATACTAAAGAAAAGTAACTGTAGAAACAGTGACATGATGAGTAATTGCAATACCTGATATACAAATGTGTCTTAAATTTAGTGTTGCATTAGTAGAGAGTCAATCATGGGTCAGGTGAGAACCTACAAGTCAAGCTGTTTTTTCTAGTTCCTTTGCTGTCTTCTCAGAAAATTTGTGTGGGTTTTTTTGTTGGAGCTGTCCATTCTGTCAGAGCTAATTTACAGCATTCGAGGAAATCAGAATCCACAGGTTTCTGTGGGGAGAAAAAGAAAAAATGGAATGGGTGATTGAGAAAAATATCTGTGAAATGCAGTCTATCTTTTTTTTTACAGTGAATCATAGACTCATAGAACCATTAAGGTTGGAAAAGATCTTTATGATAAGATTATCAAGTCCAGCCATCCACCTAACATCACCACCATGTTCATCACTAAACAATGTAAAATCCACACATTCCTTGAACGCTTCCAGAGATGGTGACTCCACCGCTTTCCTGGGCAGCCTGTTCCAATGCTACTCAACCCTTTCTGTGAAGATAGATTTCCTGCTACCCAGTCTAACCCTCCAGTGCCACAGTTTGACATTATTTCCTTTCACCCTGTCACTTGTTCCCTGGCAGAAGAGACTGACTCGCACCTAACTTCTGCCTCCTTTCAGGGAGTTGTAGAACATGATGAGGTCTCCCCCAGACCTCCAGGCTAAACACTCCCAGCTCCCTCAGCTGCTCCTCACAGCACCTGTGCTCCAGGCCCTTCATCAGCCCTGCTGCCCTTCCCTGGACAGGCTCCAGCACCTCAGTGTCTTTCTTGAAGAGGGATTCCAAGGCTGAACACAGGCTTCAAGGTGTGTCCTCACCAGTGCTCAGTACAGGGGGGGACAATCACTGTCCTGGTCCCACTGGCCACATTCTGATACTGCTGGTACAGGCCAGGTGCCATTGGCCTCCTTGGCCACCTGGGCACACACTGGCTCGTGTTCAGTCACTGTCACCAGCACCCCCAGGTCCTTTTCCACTGGGCAACTTTCCAGACACTGTGCCCCAGTCTGTGGCACTGCCTGGGGTTGCAGGACCTGGCACTTGACCTTGTAGAACCTCACACAACCATCCTCAGCCCACTGATCCAGCCTGGCCAGATCCCTCTGCAGAACCCTTTAAGCTAGAAATTGTTGTTCTCCCCTCTGTGATACTGGTTGGCATTAACGGATTTAAAACCACAAGCCATTACATTTTTTTGCAGTTCATGATTTTTCGACTGGTATATGGATGGCATGGTCAGATCTATTCAGCAAAGAAAAGATCAGCATATATGTATATACATGCACGTACACATATGCAGTCTTTATGAAGAATCTTTTATTTTACAGAGTGGAAAATTAGAAAATGTTATGGTTATCAATGATAATGCAGAAAAAATATGAAAATATTATATTTGGAGGGAAACAAACAATGCTCCAAAATTCTCTTTAGTGATATGCATTTTGCTTTTTATTTTAGACATCTTGCATCAAATTGGCAGAAACTAAACTATTAATTTTGCTGTTATTTTATAAAGCCTTACCATACAGTCAGGCATAGCAGGCTGCACAAATGGATTAGCATATGAATCCTGAACATTACAGCAGAGCAGTGAATGATAACTCCAAGGCAGTTGTTAGCTACAAGACAAACTTCACAGTGACGTTTGCTCTGATGTACTACTGAGCAAGCTCAAATAAACCTCATGGATTTTCATGGGACTTAAATCAGGGACAAAAAAGCTCTGTGCAGAGAAAAAAAACTTTAAACACTTAGCCAGGAGGGAACAGCTTGGAGGGACTTCATGCTTAAAGCTGCATATGCATTTTACACAAAGCTGATGGATAAGAAGCAGACATGACCTAAGGATCAAGGACTGGAAAAAAATCCTGCCCTTTGCCAGATGAAAGTCTGAATCAGTAGGCTGGATATTCCCACACTGTGCTGCCTGTAAGCCAGGCAAAAACTATCTCAATGATTTCTAGTTTTGCCTGTGTCAAGGATATCTTACAAATCAGAGTAAAAACCTTCACACAGCTGCTCCTGTCACTGGCTGGCCAGTACCTTATTGATGTGTGAAGCTGTCTCCAGCTCCCAGACCTCCCCTGCTGTTCTTCTCATGTGCTGCAGGAAATTAATTGGTCTGGGACATGTATTTCTGAATAGACCATGGGAAAAATGTCATTTGGGGAAGGTGAGGGAAATGGGGTTGTTGAGATAGGGATGTGCCTTAGATGGCTGGGGCATTGTGTTTGGAGAACCAGTTTGGGATGGAGAAGGCATAGAGAACAATATACAGAGATTTCATCTACGTGTTGGGGGTCTTAAGGAGTGACAGAGCTGTGTGGATGAATGGTGGGAATGCAGTTAGGCAAACAGAGCTGGGCTTGGGAGAAAATTATGATAATTGTTCAGGTGATGATGTTTACAGACCTGAATTTATTCTTGGGGGGAACACAGAAAGCTGCTTCAAACAGTGGTAGCCAAAAAATGACATTTGGGAAACCATGTATTAAGCCAGAGAATCAGGAATTCTCTTGTCCTTTGAATTCAGACTCTTGGATTTCTTTGTACATAACAGTAATCATTTTATAAGGAGGGGGGATGCCTGTCTGTTATTGCAGTCTCTTGGAAAGAGACTCAAAAGGGAATCTCCTCAGACCAAGGAAAGAAGGACAGTGTTGAACCCATGCCCCCTATTTCCCAGTGAGTGCCCTTAAAAGCATCACTGAAAAGTTAAAGGTGAAAAAGAACATATGAGCATGGCTTTTGAAATTTCAGGTTGACTTAGGAGGCCAAAATCAGAGATTTCAGTTCACAGGGTTTTAAGAAGTTAGAGGGTATAATAGACTTCCCTTGTAGTTAAATATTTGTTCACAGAGAGTTAACTGGGAGGCAGAACGTGAATCATAAATAACACATTGTTCTTGGCTTCTGGTTGTCCTTTTCAAAGATAAAAAACTTTTGTCCATAAACTGGGGTAGGAAACAAAGTCCTTTATATATGCCAAGTGATTTGTCTCCAGAGAAAAACAACATTTGAGGAGTTCAATGTATTTTTCTGAAAACTGAAAGCCAGAATAAGCACATGGTATTCTTCAGAACAATAACAGACATCTTCATCATAGCCACCACCAAAAATAATAATGAAAATGATATAATCTCAGAGTTAGAATAATGTTATTCCACATTTAGGAAATGGCATTTCAGTAAGTTTCAAATCCTCTAGGTAGAGGAAGAATGCACATCAAGGCATTCACTGGAAGATGATGGACGTGCTGATCAGTTCTAGTCATAGAATCATAGGATGGTCTGTGTTGGAAGGGACCTTTAAGATCATCTAGTTCCAGCCTCCCTGCTGTGGGCAGGGACACTTTTCACTAGACAAGTTTTCTCAGAATGGTTTCTGAAACAGATTTTCCAAGTGAGTTCTTAAAGTTATCTCATTCATTTAATACTGGAAAAACATTCAAAAAACTTTTCTGGACCTTGTTGCAGTCTGTTAAGGTGGCAGATCCAAAGAATCAAAAGCAGGTGGCCAGCAGGTCGAGGGAGGTGCTTATGCCTCTCTACTCCACTCTTGTGAGATCCCATCTGGAATGCTGTGCCCAAATCTGGGGTCTTCAGCGAGGAAGGACATGGACATGCTGGAGCAGGTTCAGAGGAGATCACAAAGACAATCAAAGGTCTGGAGCACCTCTCCTCTGAAACCCACTGAGAGAGTCAGTACTTAAAGGTGGTACTTGTGAGAAAGATGGAGACAGACTGTTTAGTAGGGCCTGTTGCAATAGGACAAGGGGATATGGCATTAAACTAAAATAGGGTAGATTTAAAATAGACAGAAGTTAAAAATTTTTTATCCTGATGATGGCAAAACACTGGAACAGGTTGTCCAGAGAGGTGGTCAATGCCCCATCCCTGAAAACTTTCAAGGCCACGTTGAACAGGGCTCTAAGCAAAGTGATCTAGTTGAAGATGTGCCTGATGATTGCAGGGGGGTTGGACTAAATGGCTTTTAAAGGTCTCTTCCAACACAAACTGTTGTATAATTCTATGATCTCCCTTGAGAACACACTCTGTAAATTAGATCCCCACTGAAGCCATGGCTCAGCAGAGGCTTTTCATCAAGACATTAGGAAATCTCATTTCATTACTGGTATACTCAGAGTATGTCACTAACATTTTTTTAAACTTAGAAATTCAGGGATTGTAAGAAATTCCCAGTTTTGAGACTTTCTGGTATATGATCTAATCTCACTTGTTCAACTATGTAGGGCTAATTCTAAAATTTATTAATTGGCATTGTTTTGAAACAAGCCTAGAAGATTTCCCATGAATCTGTTGTAAATAAAAACTGGGTCAAGTGCCAGTAGCCATTATTCACAAGCTACCCTGGCTGTGTTCTTACTTTTGTCTTGCCTTGCTAGCTTTGAATTCACTTCCAATACGTACACACAGCTGTTTAGGCAGTAAAAGATGTGTTTTAACTTCCTTGTGCACAAAGACATAGATGAGAAATTGTGATACTTGTGGGCCCTTTCTGTCTGCAGCCCTGGCAATGGATTAGTGGTAAAGAGCAAGATGCTCTATATGTCCTTTGGCTTTCCAAATGCAAAGGCCCCAGATACCCCACATAGCTACCAGGAATCCTCACTGTGAGATGCACAGACCTTCCCCAACTCTCCCATCCAGGAGCTGTAGGGTAGGAGAAACAAAGTGAATAAGGAGGTAATAGGTCAGGATGTGAAGCAGAGAGACATCTTCAGCAATTTATTTGAAATCTCACTGGCTGTGCGAGTCTTTTCCCTCTCAAAACATGATCCACAAAAGTCAGCTGTGTCCCCATGCCTGAAGGGTTCAAACCTGCCATTCAATCTGCCAGCACCACTTACCTTTCTATAAGGCCTTAGAAACAGGTGCTTATGGTTTGGCATGCCACACTCAGCAGTTTCTTTGCTCTGTATGATTTTTATGCCATCAAAATGCGAGTCTTAATGATGGAATTTTTTTCCCATGGATTTTACAATGATCATCCTTCAGTTGGCCACAGCTTTATACACCTCCCAGCTTGTTTTGTGTTATGGGGGCTATGCTGAACTTCCAGAGCTTCACCTGTAACACCACACCTT